TGAACGAACTTCTGGACAACCTCCCGGATGAAGCCAGGGCTGCGAGGCCCATGCCCCTTGCACGAATTCTGTGCATTGGGCCTCTAGTCTACCAAGAGAAAATAATCTAACATGTGGGATGGGAAAGTGGAAGGATAGAAGAATCCTATACATTAATCCCCACGTGGCAGGCGTTACTTACATTGAGAAACCAATGGGCTACTGATAATAATGCAGACGCTTACTGGACAGTTATTAGGTGCCAAGCACTGTCCGAACGCATCACATGAGGTGGAAACACCCAATGACCTACCTGAGGGCACACGGGAACAGGTGAAGAAAGGTGTATTTTTGCATGTGTATGTCATGAGGGAAAAGGCACCCTCATAAGGATAAATAACCCATGTGATCATTTGTTATATATTAATTTACTGCAGTTGAAAAATATTTTAAAAAGAACTTAAGATTGTACAATTTTCCCTTTTTTTAAAATTTTTTAACCAAATAAGGGGCAAGGGGCTGAAAATGTAAACAAAGGACATGTTTCCTGCTGTCATCCACAAAGAGGCATTTCGGTGCCTTGCTGCATTCTGTATTCCCTTCCTGGTTTGCCCATATCATCCACCCAAATGCTAATTCTTCAAGGCACAAGTAAAATGTACGCATCCCCTCCCGCCCTGTCTCCAACCACTGTATCCCCAACTATTATATCCAAATAGTAATCCAGTGGGTGAATGAAAAATAACCAGAGTGCAGCAATTATTACGTAAATCTGAATCCAGGAGTATACCTGGCCCGTCACTGACACAGGACAAATTAATTGCCTAAGAGTCCAAAAAGAGAGAGGGGGCACTTACTCCTGAATGAAATAAGGGAGGATTCATGGAAGAGGTGGCACGTGAGCAGGGCTGGCGCTGCTGTATGGTACATCTGAAAGGAGCCAAGTCTAATGATGATAGCCGATCCCTGGCACGTCACATGGATATAAATCACTTCCTTTCTGACAGACACATGCACGCCATAACTCCATTCTTTTGGAAAACATCCTTGGTGGTGGGCTCACGGTGATTAGATTATCCTTATGTCCCTTAAACGTGCGGCATAAATCTTGGGTCACCAGCTGGAGACAAAGAACTCTTCTGTCCGGCTTGACATCAGAGATTGATGATGCCCGACAGACAAGGGGAAGCCATCTTCTTCGTCATGGGGAGGGACAGGGCTCCCCGTGGGCATGAGAAATTGAAACCTGAGCTTGATAGATGCTGAATTCAAGGCCAGTAAAGGGACAGCAATATTGTGAAATATGAGATAATTAGAAAGGAAAAGGCCTAGACAAAGGAAGCAGCGATGCTTGCAATTTACCTGTGAAACAAAGAGCAGGTAGGACGCTTGATAACGTAACAAGCTTGTTTAATGGTGATAGACGAGCTACATCCCTGGCCTAGGTGACCGCCTAAAAGAACAGCAGAAGCAATGGTACACACCCCTTTGCATAGGAGCACACCCTTTCTTCATCTACATCAGAGATGATGAAAGTTCAAACTATACATGTTTTTTTTTAAATATTTTATTGATTTTTTTAGAGAGAGGAAAGGAGAGGGATAGAGTTAGAAACATCCATGAGAGAGAAGCATCGATCAGCTGCCTTCTGCAACTCCCTACTGGGGATGTGCCCGCAACCAAGGTACATGCCCTTGACGGGAATCGAACTCGGGACCCTTCAGTCCGCAGGCCGAGGCTCTGTCCACTGAGCCAAACCAGTTCGGGCTCAAACTATATGATTTTAGACAGAGCCCATGCAGAGTCCCCCATCAAAACCTGGCAGGTGAAAGGTTTTCAATGTAACAGAATGCTCCTTATTGATTTAAAAAAAAAAAAAGGAAATGCAATTAAAATGCTAATACCTGCTTCGACTTACCCAAACGGATCGCCAACCACGAGGAAGGCGACATCGCTGACATCAGCATCCTTTAAAATATTATCTGCTTCTTGCTCCACGTCTTCTCTGTCAGCGAGAATCAATTTCCTTCCGTAGAACTCTTCCTGTGGATGTAAGTCCAGTATCAAAGTGAGACAGCAGGTGACCATCTCGACACACGCGCACCCATCTTTGTCTGGGCTGGTGTGGATGATTTTGGCAATTATCCAAACAGACCATTGAATACAGCTCATCACTGAGCTAGCGGTCTATATCATGTTGTAATTAAACTCTGTCTTTGGGGCTTTCTTAATATCCCCAGAGGAGGCAGACCTCCTAACATCTGGGGCTTTTTGCATTTTAAACCTACCTCTAAATCTGGATCGAGTACACCAGGCAGAACATTGGAGGGTAAACAGAATCTGTACGTATGCCTGAGCCTTCCTTCAGAAACACAGTAATACAGAACTGTATTAAACAATAATTATAAACATACATGGCAGTTTGGGTTTTGTTAAATTTTCCATGGGAAAATCTAGGGGACCTTGGCTAAAATAAAAGGTCACACCAATGAGAAATGAGAGAAAATGAAGATTCGGTTGTTTACAGAAGCAGCAAACATTCCTATCTAATTGCGGGAAAGACTGATTTAAAACTGTTTGTCCTAGTTACTGCTAAGAAAGGAAGAGAGGCAGGGGAAAAAGAGAACTCGGAACGTACAGGAAGCCTCCATGCGAAGTGCTGTGTGCGCTTATCCCCTGATGTCAACTCAGGAGAACAAACCCAGGTACCGACCTTCCCTGGAGGGCAGCATGTGTGCGGGCCGGGCGAGGACAGGGCCTGCTGTGCTGGTGGCCAGGCGGTTGTTACAGCAGGGTCCTCAAACTTCTTAAACAGGGGGCCAGTTCACTGTCCCTCAGACTGTCGGAGGGCCGGACTATAGTTTAAAAAAAAACTATGAACAAATTCCTATGCACACAGCGGCGGCAAAAACACCCAGTGGGCCGGAGAAATGTTTTCGGCGGGCCGCATGTGGCCCGCGGGCCGCAGTTTGAGGACCCCTGGGTTACAGCTACTATGCAAGGTCAGGAGTCTTGTAACGGACTTCCTGGGCAGTGACGTGTAATGCAAACGCAGTGAAAGCGATGCATAGCTACATAACACTATTTCTGACATACGGATAAAGCTGGCTAGAATCATGAGGATTCTGGGACGAGGATGATGCCCTTAGTCCCACACTCTAAGGACTGCTGTAAGGAGAGA